GGTAAGGGAAGTAAGATGAGAACTGACATTTTCCACTAAATTCCTTTTAAAAACCTCTCAGTGTTGTTTTTTGACAATGACCAAATTATAGCTTTTATAAAAGGAAGGAAGGAAGGGAAGAAGGGAGGGAGAGAGAAAAGGAGGGATGGAGAGAGGGAGAGAGGAGGAAGGATGGATGAAGGAAGAAAACTTTTTGGAAGTAGTCAGCCTATCCATGTTCAGTACTTTCTTCCCCACAAGTATATGTTTATCATTCTTGACCTGTGGGTAAGGAGCCAACACAGCTGTGTTTGACACACCTTGATTTCTTTTGCTCACTGAGTCTGCTGGCAATTCTTTGCTTCATCTAAGACAAAAGGAAAGAGTCAAGTCAGGAGATCTAATGGAAGAGGCTGGTTAAAGACATGCCATGGAGAATAATATTCTCAAATCATATAAAGGATGTGTATAAAACAATAAGACAACATAACAGGTTTGAATCTTATATTTGATAGTGGCTGGAATCAGAGCCAAAATTATCTTCCCTTTTTGGAGGTGGTAAATGACAAAATAGCCTAAATTTATTCCCAGTCCTTAGCCATAACCAGGTAGCCTAGTATAATGGGGCTACTGAAAATGCCCTACTTCTATACCTCTACCATGAGCACAATTCAGTAGAGCTAAATTGTTCGTTTTCCTTTTATTAGGCTCTTGGGCACCCCAAAGTCCAGCTCCCCTCTCCCTGGATCCTACTCCCTGTGATGGAGTAGGCTCACACACAGCTCATTCAACAGCCATTTCATGTTGAGTATTGTCTGTGATGCTCACACTGGAAAAAATGGTTCCCACTATATTCTTGACTGCACTGTACTCTTAAGATGCTTTGTATGGAGCCAAAATACATGTCAGAAGTTCATCAGCTTTTCAAAATATGGCAAGAACGAGAACTCAAAATATCTGTCATCTAAAATAAGTAGTGATCGCTCCCTCTGTTATTTTCCCCTTGATAGTTCTTCTGTTACTCCACCAGTATTTGCTTGTGTGCCTACAATATATAAAGCACTATAGAGATGGCAAGATAAATAAGACATAATTGTGCACTTGAAGAACTTAGAGTTTTACAAATAAGTTAACGATAACTAGCTATTGAGTGCTATTTTAAAACTTTACAAGGAATAACTGATTCAGTCCTTAGAACGACCCTATGAAGTGAGTACCATTATTATTCCCATTGGCCAAAAAGAAAACTGAGGCACAAAGGAGGTCAAGTAATAGCCCCCAAGGTCAGACTGCTAAAAAGTGGCAGACCCAAGAAGTCTGCCTGCGTCCATGTCTCAACTGTTGTGCTCCACGGGCTCTCGATATGCAAAGGGCTGCATTAAACAGCAACAAGTGTCAAATGCCCTTGAATGATACGAAATACAACAGGAATTCAGACAGAAAGCATTTCTGGATGGAATGTTCATGGGGGTGGTGTAGTCAAGGTATTCTCAGGAAGATTTTGACAGATGGAATGTGGGCAATGGATTGCAAGCCATGCGGGTGAAAGCTTTCAACATTTAGAAAGGTAGTGAGTGCACAGCATGTGGTCTAATTACATTTATTTTACTTTCATTAAATTGTTTTTCCTATCTTCATAAGCAGAATTTCAGCTGCAAATATAAATAATGTCTATATGCAAACTAGGCTTAGTTTGTTTTTTTAGGAAACGCGATCATCAAAAACATAAGGATAAGATATAGATGTTTCATTGTTTCCCTTTTATTGACCCTCCTTAATAGAATGATGTAAAGGTAGAATATAGTGTAATATGATAAATGGAACATTATTGTGTATACATAGATATAGATATATAGATGGGGCAGAAGCAGAGCTATTCATACTCATGGGATTCTATATATCCATAACTATATATTATCATTGGTTTAATATATATATTTCACCTAGTTCATTGCCTTCATTTTCCAGATAGGAAAGCCCACTTGGAAAAGGTCAATCAAGTAGCCTACCTAAATTCATACAGTGAATTAACTGGCACAGCTTTTACCTGAACTCACGACTCCAAACTCCTAACTGCTACTCTTTGCTCAGCGTTGTCATTACCTTAGTTTGGGAGGTACTTCTCTTATTCTGTTTAACAAAGCACCAGGGGAACTCAAATAAGAAAAGGTTCTCCAGGCACCTGAGCAAGGAATAAAAGCAGGGCACTTAGGATATCAACGTATTTGACGCAAAATCCTTAGCCCTTTATTCTCCAGTTTTTCCCCTTGAGACCATTTCTCCGCTGCATCTTGAAGGGTAAGCAAGGAAGTATCAAGAGAATTGGAATCACAATCAACAGACACTGGATGTTCAGACATTTCCATTTTTAGCTGTGCAACAAATCGGCAAAAATCTGGTTGATCTGCACTAAAATGTCATTTAACTTTTGTTCATTAGGACTTGGTAACTGGGGGGGGAAAGAAAGAAACTAAAAATACCAGTGTGCTGTTCAGTCTGCAGGAAAGACACAGCTAAGCCAATTTTGTGCTTGGTTCCTTAAAACAAGCGCTTTTGTGGTAAATTTCCAGGAGGGTTTGTGTCATCAACTCTTTGAGGTTTTGCTCCTAATATTTAACAAGCTAATTGTTGCACAAAGTGGTGGTTAACAAGCTGTCTAATTGTTGCACAAAGTGGTGGGGTGGCCTGGGGAGGTGTGTGCTCCCAAACTGAATTTATGTTCTCAGGAAGGTGCTAATTAGTAACTTTCTGGAAAATGTACAGTAGTTACTCTTGGCTTGTTACTTTTTTTTTTTTTTAATTCATGAGATATTTATTAAAATAACACATTTAGGGAAAAAAATCAATACAATTGTATGCATCATTACTGAAAACTGTATACCATCATACAAAAAAGGATTTTATTTTTGGAAATCGATTCCTAATTTATGGCAAGTCCCCCCGTCCCCCCAGCCGCTGCGTTGGGTCTTGTTGCTGTGCGCAGGCTTTCTCTAGTTGTGGCAAGTGGGGGCTACACTTCATTGTGATGAGCGGGCTTCTCATTGCAGTGGCCTCTCCCGCTGCAGAGCACAGGCTCTAGGCACACAGGCTCAGCAGTTATGGCGCATGGGCCTAGCTGCTCCGTGGCATACAGGATCTTCCCTGACCAGGGATCGAACCCGTGTCCCCTGCGTTGGCAGGCGGATTCCCAACCACTGTGCCACCAGGGAAGTCTGGCAAGTTTTACTTTCAGAAATAAAACCACAAAACAACACAATCTAATTCAATCTTAAAGCCTGGCATGCTGAGCAAGGAATGTTCTTATTCTTTGTAGGAGCTCCTTCTTTACACTGTCAGGTACCAGGGCTCTGCCTTTTGGTGTGATTTCAGCCACCAAGTCATCAACAGTAATGTGTTCTAGTACTTTTTCTTTAATTACCTCTTTACAGTGTGCCTTCAACTGATCCTTCCAGCCACATTCAGTTAATTTATCTCTCAGCCACTCTTTGAGGCATTCTCTTTCTCCAGTTTCTATCAACTTTTGGTTAATTGCTTCTCTCATCTGCGCATCTTTGTTCATCTTGCTAGCCACCATCACCGCGGGCAAGGGCTGTCCCTTTCCAGTGATGAAATGACCCTTGCGCTGACTACCATTACCTACCACACTCTTCGGCCGCCAGGACCTAGACCCTCCTTGGCTTGTTATTTTGCAAACTATTGATAATCCAGAAGAACCAACCCTTATATTTTGTGCTTCAAGTGATATTGCTTTGTGTTTTCCCCAATGAGTACATTCTTATGAAGAGGCAGCCCTGCCAAGTTATGGGCACTGTGGAAATTACCAAGTGATGTTTTATGAAAAATGGGGTGAGACCCTACTATGCCTCTCACCAACCAGCTATCCCCTGCCCAACCAGCAACCAACAACTACCACCCCAAGCTGTGGCTGCTCTAGAAGTCTGGCTTGATTCTAGGATATTAGGGCTAGAAGACCTAACTCAAGGATCTGGGCCCCTCTGTAAATGCTCTTTTAGGGAAGGAGCAAAAAGGGGCAGAGGCAGATTCTCCTGAGGCCTAGATTTGAAATGAGATCCTGCCTGAGTCATCTAGCCTAAAACTAGCTTGTTAGTAAGTTAACAACTCCAGAGACATTATTTACCATTAAATTTCTCTCCCAGTTTGGGATAGAATAGCCAGAATTGGTAGGAAACCTGTTACAATGAAATGTCTTTGACGACTTTTTTTTGGAAGATAGATAGATAGAAAGGTAGGTAGGTAGATAGATAGATAGATAGATAGATAGACAGACAGAAAGAGGTATATGATAGAGACAATATGTGACAGATAGATATAGATATATATGGTTCTATCTATCTATCTATCTAATTAGTCATTTTCTTGGCCCATGAGAGAAGAGAGGGAAATGTGGGGATCTCTTCAGTAAATAACATATGAGCTATGTTGAGTGACGCATTGGCATTGGTTTCAATTCCCTTTTAAAAAGAAAAGTTAAGTACATTAGCCTCTGAAAAAGTACTTCTTTTAGGTCAGAAGTAGCTAATTACCTGAGAATAAGACATGTATCTCTAGAAATCAGAAAAAAAAATGTTTTTAAAGGGAGGGAGGGAGGAATCCAGTATTTATTCAGCCTTGGAAGACATAATTATTGTTATAATTAGTATAACAAAAACAAACATTTCTTGAGGATTTACTAAGTGCCAAGCATTGTTACAAGCACTTAACATGGATTAACTCATTTAATCCTTTAACCACTACAACAGTTACCTAGGCTGAAACAGAATAATGAAGGCTATGTCCTCCAGCAAAGGGAATGTTGATTTTAAGGAGCCATTTATCTGAGGGAGCAGTGAGACAAGGCATAGCTGGTACAGAGTGCTGTTTGATGCTTTGCATAGGTCTGAATATGCATTTGGGTTGCCATCACATGTGTAAATTTATAAATTGGGAGATTGGTCTGCTTTAATAAAATGTGAATCCAACCATTGGGTTGTAGAAATTTCAAAGATTTTATTTTTTGACAGGATGCCTGCCGTTTTTCTCTCTTGATTCCCGCTTGTTTTATTCATTTTGGGGTAGTTGCCAATTAGACCCAATTGGTAAGTATAATTAATGGACAACATGAATTTCCTCTTAAACCCCAACCAAGAAAATTAACCATAGAAATAATCATTTCCTTTACAAATTCCTAACACTATCCCTCCCTGTGACTGCTGTTTATCTCTTCTAAGACATCCAACCACACCAGAGATTAATTACTCCCTATTATTTATCATCTTCATAATACCACATAAGACAGAGAAGAGAGAAATGAGCGTTTATTGAGGTCCAAGTATATTCCAGGCACTGTGCTAGCATTTTCATATATACTGTCTCTTTCAATAGTCACAAAAACCCTTCAAAGTAGGAATTATTATCTTCCTTCTTTATAGTAGATGAAATGGCATCTCAGAGTAGTTAAGCCCTTGTTTTATATCCAGTTAGTGGTACAGACAGGTACAAACCTAGGCTGATAAGATTCCAAAACCCTTGCTCTTTTCACCCCACATAAGGAAGCATTGTTTCATTCAAAAAGACACTCCGCTAAAATTTTGTTACCTTGGAGGGTTTGGGGGTCATTATTTCATTCAACAACTATTTGAACACAAACTCTGTGTCAGACACGGATTGAATATTGGTTCAGCTGGGAATAATCATCAGCAGAACTTTGGGTGGAGGACAGTGGTTAGTGGCAAGATGGTAGAGGAATTCACAGGAACAAGAGGAGGAGGAAGTAGGACAGGGTGGTGGCATGGGCGGTAAGGGTGAAGACAAACAGAGGAGCTCCTGATCGTGTGCCCATGGCTACAGTCTTTCTTCATGTGACTCGTGGACTTCCCTTTGTCATCCTATGCCTGAGAATATATGAAGGAGGCTGGGAAGGCAAAGGGACGTTCAATTGTCATCACTGGCATCTTTTTGATCATTGCACCATCATCCAATGCATTGGGGTAACCATGACATGAAGTTTTCCATCACTGAGCTCATAACTGTTCCATGAGATAAATAACAACTCGGTAAGTTAAAGGTCATAGCAGAGCTTCATCCAGGGAGCCTTGGAAGTAAGAAACAGTGAATTTATATTCTCAGAGACTGACAGCCCTGGATTCAAATCAAGTGACCTGAAAAGGATGTTAAACTTCCTCTGGGCAGGTTACATGTATATCAGGAACATCTCATTGTCTTCCTTGGATGCTGTAACATGTTCAGCCTAATCATTCAGACTTTTTACTACTGGTAGAATCAACCAATCAAGCAGAAGACCATCCAAACTACAAATACCAAATTCATGATCAGTTAACTTTGGACTGTGATAACTTGCCATTTTCCAGATGCTCTCAACTGAATGTGTTGTTTGAAGTTTTTCTGCCTTTTAAAGAATTTTCCCTTCAAAGGATAGGTTGTGTGAAGAAGACAGTTACAGTTTAAACATCTGCCCTCTCTTCATTTTATAAAGTGGCTTGACAGAAGTTGGCTGTGACACTGAACTGTTTGCCACGCTTGTTAATGAAAAGCACCTTGTCGATCAAGAAAATAATGGAGTCAAATGAATAATATTGGAGGAGTAGAACAAATTTAATGAAACCTGTTTCTTGGTATTTGCCTGTCTTGTTTATCTGACTTATTTTCCAATTCAAGCTAGGAGCTCTCTCTTTTTTAGGAAGGAACCCCGTTCCACATTGGAACTCTCTGTACAGGGACTGGGACAGTTCCTGTAAACAAATGAGTCTGAAACAGGTAACTGTCCACCATTCTGATAAGACTTAGGTTCTTTTACACGTAGGGAAGAATGCTGAGATCTCCTTTCAGACTAGAAAGATTTGGGTTGCAAATGTTTGACTGGCATTTTGGTCTCAGTTGCTGGTCAGAACTAATAGGTCCTTCTGATGGCAACTTTCTTGGTGGGACTCAGTCTCTTCCTTGTTTCACTAACTGGAAGACCTTCCATATCTTCTCATTTGTTGTTTTTCTAGCTTTCCTCTCCTTCCTAATGCCTGTGGACCTTATGTCCCACCCATTCCAAACTACTTGCAGTTTGTCTTAAAGGACATGCCCTGTTCGATGTGTTTTTGTCCCATTTTGACATTTGCTGAAATTCCAACCTCTCCCAACTCTACTTATTGGCAAAAACCTACACTCTTAAGTCTAAGCTTGAAAATCTTCTTTTTTCTGAAATACTACCAGAAACCATACACACACACACACACACACACACACACCACACACACACACACACACACGTGATACTCTTAGGCTCAGTTATTCACCACCTAACCCCCGTTCCCACAGCACTCTGTATAAACCTGTGTTGTAGCATTGCCTCTTTGGTAGAGCGGTTGTCTGCCTGCACCTCCTCCCTCATCACCTGTAGATTGTGAGCTCCATGTGAGCAGAGCCTGAGTCATACTCACTTTTGTCATCCTGCAAATCTAGCACAGTGCCTGGCACATGCAGGTAGGTAGGTGCTCAATAAATTTTTATTGTAAACATCAATATTTGGTTTTCTGGCCTTATTTTTAACTCTCGTTTCCAGCCTGATGTAAAAATGTAATAGAAGAGTTTAGAAACTAAAAGCTATATAGAAAGGACGCATAATAAAACAATAATACAGAGATTCAGGGAGGATAAATAAATAGGAACGTGTACAGGCAAAGACCATCATGCATACTTCCAACTGTCATGGGCATAAAAACGTTTATTCTAGAAATTTGACTGCATTTCTCTTGACTTGTGCTTGTTGTCAAATCATTTCTATCTTGTGGATTTAGAGAGTCTAGGATATACATTTTTGTAGCAGCCAATGCCATCATGGCTTCATTATTTCCATTTACACAGAAAAAGAAATAAGTATTGATTTTTCTGCACTTATCTAAAGTGATAAGTGCCCATGGCTGCTTTTCAGTCTACATTAGGATCAACCATTCAGTAGAAATGCATAGCTAACTTTAGAAAGTTAGACAAACATAAAATAAATGGGAAAACTTGTGCTGACTGAGTACTTTTCTGCCATAATCAACAATTTTACAGTAGGATATATTTGGAGACGATAAGGTATCTCATTCTCTAGGGGTCTTTTAAAAAAGCAGGCTGAGATTTTAATTCACTGGAGATGGGTCAGGCCAGGGCAATTGTCATAGGGCCCTTCAAAGCCCCTTCCCAGGATTTAAAATAATTTGCCCATCCTTTGAAAATACTGTTTGGATCATTTCAAGCCATTTAAACTAGTGGATGTAAGCCTATATTTCATATAGGCTAGGAAAATGACTAGAAGTAGTGCTCCCAAAATGTCAGTAATAAAGTTGTCATAAGTTTTAACAGAATAAAAATCTTTTAACTTGAACCCTGAGCTTAAGATCATTAAGCCCTGAGAAATAGGAGAAAAATAGAGATGTTATGCCCTAATACTGGCCAAATAAGCATGCAGCTTTTTTTTTTTTTTTGGCATCCATCACTGAAGCAACAAGCACTCTTACCCTTACTGAACAGGCTGTCCCTGTTCTGCAAGGAGGCCAGATTTCACAAGCCTTGCAGAGTCCCACATGCCTGCAACCCTGCAGGCAAACACTCAAGTCCTAAATCCCAGGCAGAGGAATCAACAGTTCTTGTTGGCTAACGAGCCTTGACATCTCTGGGTCCACATGGGGTTCTGTGGGCAATTCCTGGTAGAATGAGGCAGGGTGGAAAAACAGGTGCACCTTTGCTAAAACAGAGGGCTGAGGATTGAAGAGTCAGCTTTCCTGGTCATCAGAAGGATCTGAGCTGAACCCTTCCTCATTAGCAGCATTTCGTCCACCCAAAGGGAGAACACAGGAAGTGCATATTGACTCTGGTTCACATCAGAATTTATTATGAAATCATGGTGGAGTTTGGGGAGAAGTGGAAAGTTCATTACACCCTGTATTTCCATTTTTCTATCCTGTTTTCTTGGTTTGAGTGGAGCAGGGTTTTGTTCCATTTTTTAATTTTTTTCCATTATTCAAGTAATAAGAACCGTTGTTATGAGTATGAATTATTGTTCATAAACTTAGGTATGTAGGAAATGTCACATAATAACAATTTTCCTTAATTCAAATAAATCCAATTCCAAGCCCCCTTTCCATCTAGTTCTGGTAAATTCAATCTTTATCTATTAGGTCTCTCCCACTCTCTCTCTCTCTCTCCCTCTCCCTCCCCCCATCCTCCCCCCCTTCCTCTCCTCTCTCCCCATATTCCTCTCTCCTCTACCCTTGTCCCCTCCCCTTCGCTCCCTCCCTCCCCCCTTCCTCTCCCCCCCTCCTCTCCCCCCCTCCTCTCCCCCCCTCCTCTCCCCCCCTCCTCTCCCCCCCTCCTCTCCCCCCCTCCTCTCCCCCCCTCCTCTCCCCCCCTCCTCTCCCCCCCTCCTCTCCCCCCCTCCTCTCCCCCCCTCCTCTCCCCCCCTCCTCTCCCCCCCTCCTCTCCCCCCCTCCTCTCCCCCCCTCCTCTCCCCCCCTCCTCTCCCCCCCTCCTCTCCCCCCCTCCTCTCCCCCCCTCCTCTCCCCCCCTCCTCTCCCCCCCTCCTCTCCCCCCCTCCTCTCCCCCCCTCCTCTCCCCCCCTCCTCTCCCCCCCTCCTCTCCCCCCCTCCTCTCCCCCCCTCCTCTCCCCCCCTCCTCTCCCCCCCTCCTCTCCCCCCCTCCTCTCCCCCCCTCCTCTCCCCCCCTCCTCTCCCCCCCTCCTCTCCCCCCCTCCTCTCCCCCCCTCCTCTCCCCCCCTCCTCTCCCCCCCTCCTCTCCCCCCCTCCTCTCCCCCCCTCCTCTCCCCCCCTCCTCTCCCCCCCTCCTCTCCCCCCCTCCTCTCCCCCCCTCCTCTCCCCCCCTCCTCTCCCCCCCTCCTCTCCCCCCCTCCTCTCCCCCCCTCCTCTCCCCCCCTCCTCTCCCCCCCTCCTCTCCCCCCCTCCTCTCCCCCCCTCCTCTCCCCCCCTCCTCTCCCCCCCTCCTCTCCCCCCCTCCTCTCCCCCCCTCCTCTCCCCCCCTCCTCTCCCCCCCTCCTCTCCCCCCCTCCTCTCCCCCCCTCCTCTCCCCCCCTCCTCTCCCCCCCTCCTCT